GCTGAATATGAGTCAACAGTTTGCCCTTGTTGCCAAGAAGGCCAATGGCATTTTGGGATGTATATGTAGGGGCATTGCCAGCAGATCGATGGATGTGATTTTTCCCCTCTATTCAACATTGGTGAGGCCTCATCTGGAGTACTGTGTCCAGTTTTGGGCCCCACACTACAAGGAGAATGTGGAAAAATTGGGAAGAGTCCAGTAGAGGGTAACAAAAATGATTAGGGGACTGGAACACATGACTTATAAGGAGATGCTGAGGGAACTGGGATTGTTTAGTCTGCAGAAGAGAAGAATGAGGGGGCATTTGAAAGCTGCTTTCAACTACCTGAAAGGGGGTTCCAAAGAGGATGGATCTAGACTGTTCTCAGTGGTATCAGATGACAGAACAAGGAGTAGTGGTCTCAAGTTGCAGTGGGGGAGGTTTAGGTTGGATATTAGGAAAAACTTTTTCACCAGGAGGGTGGTGAAGCACTGGAATGCATTACCTAGGGAGGTGGTGGAATCTCCTTCCTTTGAGGTTTTTAAGATCAGGCTTGACAAAGCCCTGGCTGGGATGATTTAGTTGGGGATTGGTCCTGCTTTGAGCAGGGGGGTTGGACTAGATGACCTCCTGAGGTCCCTTCCAACCCTGATATTCTATGAGTGCGTGGACAGGGCTCCAGTTGAGGCAACATTGGAGCTAACTCTGCACTGAAGATCAGCACTGGGGGAAAAATCACCCAAAACTTTTTTTGGGTGAAAAATGCAGATGCCGTGCCTCCAAAACGTTTTGTAAATTCAGGGTGGTTTTGCCGAGTTGTTCATATCAGTGGGTGTATTTTTACAAAGTCAGAACATTTTGTTTAGACATTTGCTCAGTGAAACCTTTCCACCTTTTTAGTGCAGAGCAGATTTTCCTTTCAAAACTTCCATCAATTTTTTTTTCTAAAAATTATTTAAAATCCACTTGCAATCAAAACAAACTGTTTTATTCTATCCAAAATGATTTTTTCCCCCAGTTCACTGAAAATTTCAAAACACTTCATTTTTGGGTGGACCTGAAACATTTTCTCCCCCAGCCCCTACTTTTCCTATTTGCCAATGAACCCAAAATGTTGTTGGTTCCTGAAGGTAACTTGCATGGGAGGGTGTGTTCCTCCCTGGAGACAGGCCTCACAGCTTGCTCCTGACCATGCACGTGTTGCATCTGATCAGCCCTGATCATGTCTTGCATAGCTGGCAACCCCCTACCTAAAGCCTCACCCCCCCACCCCAGGAACTCTGGGATCTGTATGAGGCACCGTGTGTGGGTGGTGGGCTCAAATCCTAAACCTTGTAGATTCTGAGCAGGGCTTTGCATTCGATCCAGCAAGCTGGTGGAGCGCACGCCCTGGGTTTGTTGCGGTCTCTACTTACCAGGCCAGTGGGCAGCTGGGTGCTGTATGAGCTGGAGTTTCCATGTAGGTTTTCCTACCAACCCCAGCTGGCTAAACGTTCACTGTGGTCTCTATAGCACAACCTGTGGACAGGGATCCAGTCCGAGCCAGAGGGCACATAAGCAATAACAACTGCTGTTCTACAGCATTCTCAACCACAGAGCCCAGCGCACATTACAAGGGAGTCCCTGCCAGGGGAGCTGTAAGCCCTCATATGTTTTGATTGTGCAAAGATGATCCAAAAGGGAACCCCAATTTGTTCCCCAGACTGCTGGGTCAATAGCACAAGGATTACTCTCAGCACGCTGGAAATTGAGGCTAGATGCAGACAGCTTTCGCAAACCCAAGGGTTTAGTCTTCGCCAGATTGAAGCTAGGGCTCATCCATCCTGTGATATCAGAGAAGCAAAGCGATCCCAGACAACGTGAGTGACAACTGTGTCAGTGGTTGTACCAGAGAGTGTGTGTGTGAGAACTTCCCTCTGATGTACAAGCCAGAATGTGAAATTTTTAGTAGCAGTATGAGATTAGTAACTGAGACCGGGGCCCTGTTGTGCCAGGTGCTGCACAGACACACAGTGAGAGACAGGCCCTGCCCCAGCTGAGATCAGGGCCCCATGGGGCGGGGCGCTGCACAGACACACAGTGAGAGACGGGCCCTGTCCCAGCTCAGATCGGAGCCCTGTTGTGTCCCTGCCTTAAAGTGCTACAATCTGAAAGACAAAGGGTGGGAGGGGAAACTGAGGCACAGAGTGGGGCAGTGACATGCGGAGGACAGTTAGCCTTCAGAATAAGCCCAGCAGCCAGCCATCCCAAGCCTGTCTCACTATGCATTGAGCAGCGGTCACCCATCACGTTCAGATGTGAAGTCCAGAAAACCAAGCATGTCTCACGTGCCCACTGAGCACTCCCTTGGCCTGCCCTCCATAGGGAGCTGCAGCAGGACAGTAGGCGAGGCTGAGACACAGGGGCCATTGAGGAGGGCTTGGCCAGCCCACTCTGCCCCCTGCCTCTCAGCATGAGGCAAGCAGCCCCATGACTAGCACTCCCTGGGGCTCGCATGAGTGAAGATGACTGAATGGCACTGACCTCCTCTGTGACAGGCAGCCTCACCAGCCTGTCAGGACACACCCCCAAGTCCTTTTGGGAAGGGTTAATGATCCTGGTCCCTTTAATGACCAGAGCAGATCACGGGGCTGGTGGGAAATGAGCAAATTGCTTATTGCAGCTGAGCAGCCAAGCCTCAGGATAAGGTCAGCCTCAGCATAGCTGCAGCTACAGCTTTTCAGTGTGCGTGTGTATTGGACACTGGGCCAGATCCCCAGCTCATGTCAATGGGCCATGGCTCCATTGAAGTAAATGGGCCAGATCTGCAGCCCCAGCACTAGTGGCTCCTTCTCCCAGAAACAGTGGGTCTGAAAATGCCTTTTATTTCCACAGGAAATTTTGAATTGTTGGCAAAAACAACCAGAAATCAAAATATTTCCATTTGGAAACATCACTGTGGTGCCTTATGGGAGCTGTAGTTCTGGTGCCTCATTCATCCCCTGGTTCTCCTCTCTAGGCCCGGTTTCTTGGCCAGACTACACCTCCCATGATGCACTGCAGTCTCCCCTCATGGTGAAGGGAAGTGGGTGTGTCATGAAAGCCCCTGACCATTCATGGGAAATGTAGTCTGGCCCAGGAGCCCAACCTACACAGAACAGGAACAAGGGGCAAATGAACTACAACTCCCATGAGGAATGAACGCAGTAATTCCTGACTGAAATATTTTTTTGAGTTTGGGGTGTTTGGTCTTTTTAATGAAAAAAATCCAAATTTTCTGAGGAAAGAGGGCACCTCGCTCAAAAAATGTGTTTAGCTGAAAACCCCATTTCCACTAAAAAACAGTTTTAATGGAAATTTTTCAACCAGCAAGTCTCTTAGATCAAAGCACCTTGATTTGATCCCTGTGCACAGAGCTGGGAGAATTATTTATTTGTATTGACAAACAGATCCTTCATCGAAAAATGCATTTTTCAGCATTCCCCCCCGAAAAATCAAAACATTTCATTTCAAGATGTTTGTGTCATTTTTCACTTTGCTTTTTTGAATTCAAATTTGCCCCATTTTTTTCAAAACATGCAAAAAAGGAAAAAATCCACCCAAAAAACAGGTGATTAGAAATGAACAAGGTAAACAGAATTTCATTTGACTCACCCAGGATCTGTAGACTAAAAAGCATGAGCCCCTCCTATCTCAGCTCACAGACCTGAACAGAAGCTCTGTGCGGCTTGAAAGCTTGGCTCTTCACCAGCAGAAGCTGGTCCATTAAAAGATATTATCTCATTCAGCTGTCAGCTCACAGCCAGCAGCAGGCTTTAAATGATGCAGCCACTAGAGGGAGAAAGCGCCCCATACTGAGTTCTTGTGGTTTCTCCAGGAAGAGCATGACCTAGGGGTTAGACCAATTTTTGCTCCCCTCTCCCTTCCAGTTCAACTACAATTTTTGCTCAGTTCTAGTTCTGTATCCTCCATCTTCCTAATTTACTCTGCACCTGCTCTGGGAATTTCCAAGCAGGAGAGCACTGTGTTTGTAGTCCCTGTTTGAGCTAGGGGAAGGAGCAGTAGCTACAATTCAATGTCAAGGCCCGTCTGTTTATCCTGAACACTGTGTGCTTGTGCACACAGCTTGTAAAGGGGACACAGGAAAGCTGCTGATGGCTCAGAAAAATGCTATATTTAACCTCCTATGTCCTAAGCTGTTCTTAGGAGGGATCAGATATTTTGCTTTATGATTCTGATGAGGCCAAAGTAAAGGAACAGAATTCCCCTAGCTCATGGGTCCCTTCACAGATCCCCCACGCGTGTGTGTATGGGTGTCTCGCCCTCCATCTTCATAAAGCTGCTGCCTTCTCCTCTTTCAACCCCCTCCTCTGCCATGACGCCCACAGATCTCTCCCTGTTCTGATCTAGGGTCCTCATCCTCTCAGAGAAGGGATTGCTGGGGTGCCACGGTTCTGTGAGGGGGCACGCAGGGGGCATTTCCTGAACTCAGGAGTACACAGGCCGACAGCTGGTTGTTTAATTGAATAAGGCACATATCAGGGATATAGTTCTTTGAATTCAAGCTTAGAGACTGAAGCAGCAGACAGTAAGGACCAGTATTCATTGTATCAATGTAGTATCAGCCAAGATCAGGGTCCCCACTGTGCCAGGTGCTGCACACATTAGTAAGAGAGAGTCCCTGCCCCAAAGAGTTAGCTAGATAAGATTAGACAAAGTATTATTAACCTCCTCATTTTCTCAGTCAGGGCAGGACCTGTCTCTCGCCATGTGTCTGTGTAGCGCCTGGCCCCACAGGGCCTGGGTCTCAGCTGGGGCAGGGCCTGTTTCTGTGTGTGTGTCCGGGCTGAGCAGAGCCCAGCATGACCAGACCCTGATCTCAGCTGGAGCCTCTAGACACTACCATAACATGAATAATAGCAATAATAATCAAGTCCCTCCAGACCTTTTGGGCATCCTTAGCTCCCATCGCACAATACCCCAGTCCTGACTATTTTTAACCACTCCTCTGGTACTGGCCCTCCAGCATGAGGATTACCTGTGGGGGTGTAACGTAGTCTGCCGTATCCATGACCCTGTTGGTGTATTTGCCGAAGCCCTTGACCTTAGTCACCACAGAGGACTCAATGGAGGTGTCCCGCACCTGGTACGCCTTCTCATGGAGAAACACCCAGCTGCGGAGGGGGGGGAGAGGGACAGAGACCCACATTAGCCTCTCACCGGAGGGGCAGGCTGGGGAAACTCCCCCACAATTCGCCAACCTGGGACAGGCTCGGTAGAGAGCTGTGAAGATCCCTTTGCATTGTCCCCAACTCTTGGGATTTTATTGGGAGTCTTTGCTGGCCTTGCTAAAGCCCCACCTCCTGGAGTCATGGGATTTAGTGACAACCTTAGGTCTTGTCTAAATGCAAATGGTTTTGTTTTCGGGTTAACTTTAGTTTTCTTCAGCCTAAACTGCATTGGGTCCACACACATGTCCTGTTTTCAAACGATCCAGCGTCTTGTGCCGCATTCATCAATCCGTTTTGGAAGCGGGTGAGCTCTTTCAGACTGAGTTCCTGGAATTCCCCTTTCAAAATGATCATTTTGCTCCTGACCTCCCTCCTGCTGCCCTCGCACACTATACTGCTGCCCACCTGGAGCAGCTCATCTGTTTACCTGCGTTCCTTGCTGTGGGATCACCTCCCTGTTTAAACGCTGTCACACAGCCAGCAGTGCCCCTTGGCGAGCTGAGGTCACACACTTTGCTTTCATCAACAGAAACCAAATGCAAGTGTCTAGCCCTGCTGATTACCAAGAAGAACATGATAACAGGACCCCCATGTCGCCTACCAGCTCAGGAACCAGAAGGCAAAGGAATTTTATAAGATTGTTGCCTGATTTTGGGGGCGGGTTGATTCAGTAACCCCAGTTACTGAAATGACACTTCCTTCTAAAAAGCGGCAGCCAATGTTAAAATGTCCCTTTAAAATAACAAGTGAGAGGAACAGGCTCAGAGCCAGCCTGGCTGTAAAAGACACACAGAGCTCTTCTTCCTACACATCTCGTGCCACCTAGTGGCCCCCTGCAGATTCTTCTCTGCAGTTGTATCCCCACCACCTTCACTGCTTTTTCTTATAGCTCCGTGGTAGATTTTCCAAAAGTGCCCAGGTAATGGAGGATCTAACGTCCCAGGACTTAGGAGCTCGAAAAAGAGATTTTCAAAAGAGCACAAAGTCAGATTTTTTTTTTTGCAGACACCTGGCACACGATGGGGGCCAAATTCGCCAAGCACATGATGGCTTCTGGTGCAGCCTAATTGTTTACAAGAACTCAGGGCCAATCGCTAAGATATTTTGGAAATCTGGGCTTTTGTTTTGGGGCATGAAAGGGAGTGAAAGGTTTTTGAAACCCCCCCCCCGATGCATCCCGCCCATCAACCCTCTGCTCTGTCCTCCCAGCCCCTCCTCCCCACTCACACAACCTCTGCTGCACCCCTTCCTCCCAGCCCCACCCCCAGCTCACACAGCCCCCCAGCTCACCCTCAGCTTGCACAACCTTCCCCACCCTCACTTCTCAGATCCACACAGAGCCCTACCTCTCCTGTTCACACAGAGTCACACATACACACCAGCCCTGCTCGGATACCCAACCCAAAGACTATCTTTACACTCTCCTGCGGGGAAGCTGATGGGCGGGGATGGGCACTGTCAGGCGGGACAGTGTGTACAACCATGCACCAAGGGCTTCTCCAAAACCAGCCTCCCACCCTTCGATTCAGCACATTGGTGGCAAAAAGGGGATAGCTGCCTCTCTAGGTGATGCTGTCTGGCCCCAGTGGTTAGGGCCAGCAGGGCTCAGACCTCTTGTGTCCCCCAGCACAGCCCCACCTGGCAACGCCCATCAGCAGCAAGGAGCGGGGAGGAGAGAGACCCTTGCTGTTGGACGAGTTGATTACATTCCTCCCAGAGAGCATCTCCTCCCCACCCCGACCCCTGTGCAACCCACATGCAGGGCCGGGTCGGTGGGCAGGCGGGACTCTTTAGCCTGGGGAGTGATTCTGTGCCAAGCTGAGGTTGACTCATCCCCCAGCCTCCTTCCTCCGGGAGTGGGGCTCTTTGGAGATCAGTGTATGATGGTACCCACCCTGAAGAATAATTCTCCTGGTCCTCTGGGACGAGGCCCAAGGGGAAAGGGGTTTGGCCATAAAGCCCGAGTGCCAGGGAGACTCCCCTGGCCTGGGGGGCACTCACCCGATGAAGTATGAGATGACGAGCAGCTGCACAACCCGGTTGATCACGCCAACGGTCCAGCTCTTCACCACCACCGACTTGGTGGTCTCATAGGTGAAGAACTCAGCTACGCAGTTCATGCTGGAGGAGAGCATGGGCATCAGGAACAGGGCGTGGCCCACCAGCCCAGGGCAGACGGGATGCCTGGACTAGAGACAAGGAGGCAAGGGGTACCCCAGGGGGTGATGGATGCCCAGGGCTAATTGGGAGGGCTATCCCTTTAAGATAGGGAACAGAAGTGGAGTCTTCCTGTGCCCTGCGGCTACTCTGGGCTGCCTGGAGCCAAGGGACCCCTTTAATATACCTCCCCCCCCCACCCCTGTGGTGATGCCATCAGGGAAAGGTGGGGCTTCCTAGCCCATCCATTACCAGTTGGAGTCTCTGGGGTGTGTGTGTGTGGGGGGGGGGAAGGTCTTTAATGCATTCCATGAGTCCAGAAAGGAATCTGCTCTCTGCACATTTCATCTCAGCTCTCATCCTTCCTGCAACAGCTCTGCTGGTGCCCCTCACTTCCAACCCGAACCCCTGTTCCAGCCATGGGCTCCCCCCACCCCACCGCACCCCAGCTCTGCTGGTGTCCCTCAATCTCAACCTGCAGCCCCTGGCTATCCCATCCCTGGCCCAACACACAGGCAGCTGTGGAAGAATAGCCAGAAAGGAGAGCCAGCTAAACAAATACCACACTGATTTTTCTCTGGAGACAAATTAGCAGCTGATGGAATATGCTGGGCAGTGGCAGTCCCTGAGCCTGAGGTTCTGTAATTATCCTCAGAGCATGCACAGTATGGGCTGATGCAGGGCTCTTGCTTGGCTTCCCCTGTGAGACAGATCCCCATCCCCCAGGGCCCAGGCTATCCATGGCCCTGACCCCTCTGCTTAGGCTGCCAAGAAGGGAGTCACCTGAGTAACTCGCGCCAGTGGGACTGGTGGCTTCTGCAGTGTTTGACACCCCCATTCTGCTAGAGAAAAGAAATGACCCCTGGTCGTTTCCCACAGCCCTAGGGGTGGATTTTCCAGGTCAGCTGGGGAAGGGTGTTGCGGAGACATGCAAATCCCACCAGGCCCCCTCCGAGCAGCAGCTCGCAAGCCTCCCATGGACTATCCAGTAAGGTTTGCTCCTCCAAGGCACAGGGTGCTGTGTGAGCAGTAACTGCAATGTAAGCGATGGCTAGGCTGCACAAGTATACTGCAATGGGGGCAGATGTCTGGTGTAATCTCCCCTTGCCAGACAGTTTCCCTTGGAAAGAGCACGGCAGCAGAGCGAGCCAGGCCTACGCAGAGGGGGAGCAGCCCCGTGGTTCTTTCAGTCAAGCTGTAGCAGCTTGCGAGGCCCCCAGTTTGTTAGTCACGGCGGCCTCCTCGGTCACACTAGCACAGGGATCGCAGCCTCCATTACAGCGTCCCAGTGGAGCGGTTCGCGGTTGAGGGTCACGCCGGCTGTGCGGGACCATCCAGCGAGGTCAAAGCCGGGCGAAGGGGCGGCTGAGAGTCCGGAGGGTCAAGGTGGAGATGGGAGAGGGGCCTAGGGGTGTGGTCTGGCGATACAGGCCGGGGAGGGGGGGTTGCGGGCGGTGTCTAGGAGGCTGGCGAAGGGAGGGGGCTGGGGGGAGGCTCGGTGTGCTCGCGGCCCCAGCTCCGCCTCCCATCCCGGCGCTACCAGACAAGCTAACGCAGGACAGCTCGAGGACGGACCTGGAACCGCCCCAGAGGGCCCCATCGACCGAAGCCGCACTCGGACTCTATGGTAGGAGCAGTGCGCACGCGCGAGGCGCCCTTCATGGCCGGCGTCTCTATGGTAGCGCGGGCCGGAAGGTGGATGGAGGGAGGTTTCCGGTGGGGAGGGAGGCTCCGCATGAGGTTCGTGCTGCGCAGGCGGGAAATCGCCCCAAGGGGTGGGGGTGTGTGTGTGTGTGTGTGTACCTGGGGCAGAGGTGGGTCAGTGCCCGGGGCAGGGGGTTCCGGGGCACGGAGGGGAAGTGGGGAGGGTCCATGTCTGGGGATGGGGTTGGCGCAGGGTGGGGTGTGTGTTGGGGTTCTGGGGCAGGGAGGGGAAGTGGGGGGGGGTCGGTGTCTGGGGATGGGGTTGGCGCAGGGTGGGGTGTGGTGTTGGGGTCAGGGGGGAGGCAGGGGGTTCTGGGGCAGGGAGGGAATGTGGGGAGGGTCGGTGTCTGGGGGTGGGGTTGGCGCAGGGTGGGGTGTGTGTTCGGGTTGGGGGGGGCAGGGAGGGGATTGGTCTCTAGGAGGGTCTGGTGGCAGGGTGAAGCCAGGGATGGGGAGGGTTCTGTGTGATCCTTCTGCTGGTGCTCAGCCTCCAGCCCCTGGAGAGCTCTGTAATGCTCTCCAGCTGCCCAGGCCTGGCTGGGTGAGGCTCGCTGGTTGGATGGGAGCCAGCCCCTGTATCTACTCTGTGGCTACCCCATGGGTTCAGTCTCTGGGGGTTCCTGAGCTGGGTCCCTGCTGGGCCTCATCTGCTGGTGGAGTCATCTCTCTCCTTTCTCCCCAGGTGCTTCGCGGCTTCCTCCCCTCTGTGCTACTCTGGGCATGTGGGACTTGGGAGGGGACTGAAGAATTTCATCATCTCTGGAGAGCTCCCTGACTGAACCTAGTCTCCAAAGCTCTCCCAAACCGGTTGCTGGGAGACAGACCCCACCAGAGTGGGCGAGGTGGGGAGGGGCCATCATGGCGGACACGCTGGAGTTCAACGAAATATACCAGGAGGTGAAGGGGTCCATGGTGAGAGACACAGGAAGCCTGGAAAGCCATGCCTTCCTGGGGGTGGGAAGCACAGAGTCTGGGAAGGTGTCGTTATTGTGGCTGGTTGAGTGGTGTGTCTAGGGCTGAGAGAAGGTGCTGAACCATGGTTCCGATTTCATTACAGCTCTCAAGCTAAGTGGGGTCACAGCTGGAGTGCCACCCCAAAGTAAAACCTAGAAGCTGTAAGTGACTTGGGGGAGGGGTGTGTGCTTTTCCCCTGAGTCATTACTGAGCCCACAGATCAAGCAGCATGCTAGGGGACCTGGGATGAGACAAAACATGGCCAGACCCCTGTAAGTATTAAAGATCCAGTGACACTTTCCTGGGTGTTGGGGAGTTAGCGCCAGTTCCTGGCTGCATTCCCGCTCTGGTAGGTAACACTCAGCTGACCGAAGTTCACAGCCCGTTGGACTTCAGGGAGCAGACTCCTTGCATTTCATTCTAAACTCTTGCATGATGTCACCAAGTGCTGTGGGAACTGACGTTTGGCCTAGCCTGAATGGCTGAAACTTGGGAGTCTTTCAGAAAATGCAATGCACGATCCTGTTTATTCCCAGACATGAGTGTTTAAGTGATCTCTCTCCTGCCATCCATCTCCACCCTCTAACAAACAGAGGCTAGGGACACCATTCCTTACCCATCCTGGCTAATAGCCATTAATGGACCTAACCTCCGTGAATTTATCCAGTTCTCTTTTAAACCCTGTTATATTCCTAGCCTTCACAACCTCCTCAGGCAAGGAGTTCCACAGGTTGGCTGTGCACTGTGTGAAGAACTTCCTTTTATTTGTTTTAAACCTGCTACCCATTAATTTCATTTGGTGGCCCCTAGTTCTTATATTATGGGAACAAGTAAATAATTTTTCCTTATTCACTTTTTCCACACCACTCATGATTTTATATAGCTCTATCATATCCCCCCTTAGTCTCCTCTTTTTCAAGCTGAAAAGTCCTAGCCTCTTTAATCTCCCCTCATATGGGACCCGTTTCAAACCCCTAATCATTGCCAATTTACAGCGAAGGTGCATGGTGGCCTGAGCTTCATAAATGAGTCGGTTTCCATGCCAAGAAATCCAAATCTTTGGCTGTTAGTAGTGAGGGTTACACTGGGGAATGTTGTCCCTACATCTGAGAAATGCCCTTGATTGGGCTATTGTTCCTAAGTGGCCAGTCAGTCCTCAAGCTAAAGCGAATTACAGGCTTTATGGTGCCGCTCTGGCTGACTTAAACTGCAGAGCTGGTGCTATGGCCCTGTGATGCATGTGGGGGTAGTTGGAGGGGGAGGAGGGGGGAATCTTGGAGTGAAGCTTGCATGTGGGTGAGGGAGTGTGTTTGGGGTGGTGTTAGTTGGATATGGGGTGAGTGCACCCCGTGTGGGAGAGGAGAGATGGTGGGGTTTCTGTTTTAAATGCATGGGGGTGGGTGTTAAGTAGCCTTTTCCCTGGAAGAAGAAGGGTGTGACTGGCTGATGTGGGGTTCCGGGTGTATTCTTTGACACCATTCCAGAGTGTCACCACTGTTGTTCTCACTAGCATGTTGTCCCTGTGCCCCCTACCAACCCATCTCTCTCTGTCAGAATGATGGGCGGCTGCGGCTGAGCCGCCAGGGTGTCATCTTCAAGAACAGCAAGACAGGCAAGGTGGACAACATCCAGGCCTCAGAGCTAGCAGAGGGCATCTGGCGCCGTGTGGCACTAGGCCACGGCCTCAAGCTGCTCACCAAGAATGGACACGTCTACAAGTATGACGGCTTCAGGGAATCGGTGAGACCTTTGGCCTGGCCAGCTCCCCCTCCTAGAAGCTCCCACCCCCCCGTGTGTCAGGACTCCCAGGGGGAATTTATGTGGGTGGGCATCCCCAACCAGCTACAAGGTGACAATTGCTTGGCAACCTCCCGGATTTGCCCATGGCATTAGTGCCTCAGTGCAGCCCACATGCTCACGAGCCCTGGATCCCATGTGGCTCTGTGTAAACACCTCTCTCGCCCTGCCGTAAGGATCCTGTTCTTGGCCCAAACCGTTTGCCATGAGTTTAAGCTTCCACGCTCTCTCCTAGGAGTCTTTTTCAATTAATTGTGTTTATTATGGTAATGCCTAAGGGTCAGCTGAGAATGGGTCCCATTGCCCTAGGCTCTGTACAGAGTAGTAGATAGTCCCTGCCCTGAAGAATTTAGTCTAAATAGACCAGACAGACACTGGGGTGGGAGTGGAAAGCACAAGCCCAGTGAACTGTGTGATGGCAGCAAGTGTCTTGTTAGTGCCCTGGTGTTCTTTCCTGGTGGGTGTAGTTAGGAGGGGATCAGCCAAAGGGAATGGGGGGAGAGAATGGAACAGGTATCGAGGGAAATTTAGGTGAAGAGACTGTGAGCGAGGGGCAGTATTCCCTCTAATTTTTCCCACCTATGTGTGGAATGAATTTTGTTATGTGCACCAATATGGAGGTGATATGTGACACATCATCTTCATATTGGTGAATGTAACAAAATTCATGTGGTGGGTGTGGGGCCAAGGAGTTTGGAGTATGGGAGGGGGCTCAGGGCTGGGGCAAAGGGTTGTGGGGGGAGGTGAGGGTTCCAGCTGTGGGTGTGGTCTCTGACAGGGCCATCCCTAGTGGGGTGTGGGGCCTGGGACAAATCAGCCTGTATGGCCCCCCTTAACATTTTTTATAAGGTGAAATCTGGTGTGGGGAGGGGACACCAGTGCTGCGGGGCGAGGGATAATGCAGAGTCACAGGGTGGCACCTGTGCTAGGGGCCAGTGGGCCCCCTGTGCTGGGGGATCCTGCAAAAGGGAGGAGTCCAGGGTGGAAGGGCAATGGATAGGGTCAGCCTGGCCCTGGCTTGTTCCGGCAGCACTAGGATGGTGGCAGCAGGCGAGCAAGAAAAAGAAATACAACGCGCGCTTCCTGCCGGCTAGTGCGGGCCCGACCCCTGCTGCCGGCGCCAGGCCCCCCCTGCTAACCTCCTGGGCTGGCCTGGGCCCCCTAACCCCACCCCTCCTGGGCCAGCCTATCACACCCCGCACGACCCACACACACTGAAGTGTGGGGCCTGGAGCAGTTGTCCTGGTTCACCATACTAAAGGGATGGCTCTGGGGTGAGGCTGGGGATGAGGGGCTTGGGGTGCAGGCTGCCCTGGGGTTATGGCGGAGAGAAAGGACTCCCCCCAGCTCTCTCTCCCCGCAGCAGCACCTGGGCTGGGGGGGTGGGGTGCCTCTCATGGCTGTGGCAGGTCCAGGCCGGGACTGGATTTGGGCCAGGGGAGGGGCACTTCTTCCCTGACCGTGGCAGGTCTGTAGCCGGGCTGGGTTGCGTCCGGGGCTGTGGGAGAGGAATCTCTCCCCACCACAGCCCTGAGTGCCTGCGCAGTGCTTAATAGGCTGCTACACAGCTTAAAGGGAACTTAGGCGAGTGGGAGGGCTGGAACAAACAGCCCATCAGCACCAGGTAGAAAAAGTCCAGTCAAACTGCAGGGAGTTCTTTGAACATGTAAGTGTCCCTGCTTTGGCTGCAGCTGCTCCAATCAGCTGGGGACTCTGGCTGACTCCTCTGCAGGTGCCAGTCATGTAGTGGGTGTATCCCTCCGAGAGGTTTCAGCTCCACATGAGCATCCAGCAAAGATGCAGGGCTGGTAACTCCTGTTTGCTCTCCCTTAGCTCTGTGGTCGTAGTTCTCCTAGTGACTGATTCTTTCCCCAGCTCACTTGCTTCCTGGCACATGCTGTGTGTTGCAGCGAGCCATCCTAGATGGAAGAGCGCTGGAGCTCCCCGCTGCTGCTGTTTGTTACCAAGGGGGAGCTGTGGGGTAGTAGCAGTGGCCGGACCTCTCTGGGAGGGAAGGAGCCCAGGAACCACGTCTCAGGCTGCTAGGTTATGGTGGCTTCTGATGGCTGTTCTCTACTTCCCACTCAGGAGTTTGACAAGCTGTCAGAATTCTTCAAGTCCCATTATCATCTGGAGCTGGCGGAGAAGGATCTGTGTGTGAAGGGCTG